CTAAAATAAATAAATAAATAAATAAAACCTTCCCAAAAAAATTAACTGGGTGAGAACCTCCAAAAATGACTGCCATTTTGGGGTCCGCATTTTCCATCTTTCCCCTTCTCCTTTCCCCTCACCTTCCCTGATGCACACAGTCTTCCCCCTCCTTTGGTCGAACCAACCTCCACACTGCTGACAATTGACCACAGAAAACCTCGAAGTGATGTTTCCAACCTCCTCCTTGATTTTTTCCCAGCGACGAAATGGTTTTCTTTTTTTATGAATCTTTGCTCAAACCTCGTGGACTTCCATTCTCAGAGTTGATGAGTTGTTGTCCTCTAATCTGAAAACGGAAAACCAACACCAGAAAGTAACAACGAAGAAGCAAACGACTTTGCCTCCAAAAGCGTGGTAAAGCAGAGCCACATGCATTGGGGTTTCGTTCGGTGATCTCGATCAACTTGATTTGTGACCTAATCCGGTGATTTTTGACCCATTAGATCTAAACCTGAAAATGCTAAAACGACGTCATTTTGGGGTTTCCGTCTTCTAAACAATGGTGTCACAAAACCGAACTGATATGAGAATGAAAACTGTTTTATGGGGGAAGATTGTAATACAAAAATTATTGCATAAGGCTTCAGTATTAGAAGTCTAATCTTATTTAATTATTAGTATTATATAATTTAATACGATTTAAATATATAATACTTTTTTTTATGATAATTAATAAAGATTTTGTTTACGGAATTTTAAAAATTTAAAGACTAGACCGTTAGCAGTGGTGGCGAGGCAGGGTTTAGAAGCTGGGTCGGTTCGTCGGTGGCTGGGAGGGTTGTCGGCGGTTTTAAGAGAGGTAACAAAAGTGGCCATTGCCGGTGAAGGTTTTAGAGTTGAGAGGTGGGGATAAGTGGGTTATTTGCCTTTCAAGTCTCTAGTTTTCCCAGGGTCATCAGGATAAGTCTTTTATTTATTTTATGCACTTTGTCAATTTAGGTCCCTAGTTTTGGCTTTGGCTTTGTCCTATTTAGTCCTAGGTCTTTAGGACTAGGGTTGTTAGAGGCTGTTTGGGAGGTGGTATTGCGATCCTGGGGGCAATAAGCCTAGTAAGTAATATTCTTGGTGGGTTTGATGACCCAAATCATTGGTATAAAATGAGTATATCCTATAATAGATTTTCAAGAACTTGTCCTTTTGGTTTTAAATCAAGAAGGGGACAATAGATTTTGCTGATTTTAAGATACTCTTTGATTATAAATATTAAAGGGTTTATCTAATTTCAACTCTAAAGGTATTACCTAAGAATGTATTAAATATATATTTTTATTATAAATTAATATTAAAAAGTTAATTTTTAATTTATTAATTATTCATTTAAATTCACTCATTTGGCACTAATACTAAAAGTAATAACAGTTTTTACATTTTTCTATATGTATTTATAATAAAAATATTTTTAATCTATATCTCAAAAACACATGTTAAAAAATCTAATATTAAATTCAAGATTTAAACTTAAAACTTTTTAATTAAAATCTCAACTTCTTAAAAGGGTAAGGGCATAACTCACCTCTTAGAGGGCTGATGAACCCATCATTTTTAATAGTAAATTTGGCTTTCTTATAAAAAGAAGAAATAAATACCTTCTCATGCATAGTTTTTTTTTTTTTTTTAATGAAATCTCATGCATAGTTTTAATTCATGACAATAAAAAAAAAATTATTTTTTAGGAAATAAGGCTAAATGATGTCATGTGTGTGTGAAAGAAGGTAGAGTTACACAACATTCATGAAACACCATTTTTAAGGAAATAAGATTGGTTGACCTGCAATGGATATATCACTGTTTATTGTTTCCGATGAAATCATGCCCGTCAATACAAATCATATACCAAATCCTTTTAACAGTGAACATAGACACAATCCTCCCAGAATCTCATCTTGTCTTCTTGTTCTACATTTAAAACAATAATAGAAACTCCTTTTAATCTTGAGAGTGAAAATTAGCTCGGAAGAACCTAATCGGGTCCTTATTCACCTAATTGATTCTTTAGAGAAGTCATAAGAAGTGGTTCATGTCGGACTTCTTAGTTCTTAGATTTAAAGAAAATTGAATCGGGAAGAGTTTTCGAGGACACACGGTTAATGGCAGACTCGGACATTTCAAGAGAGGAAGGATATTTGGGTGCTTTGACGTCCAAGGCCCGGCAACACCCCAACTCTATTCCTCCGCTTTTTACGGGGAGAACAGAGGGAAACAGCCAAACAGAGAAAACAACTCCTAACATATAACTGTAATACACCATTAACAAGAGAAAAAAAAAAATTTAAAAACAAAAAGGTCAAAGTATACCTTTTCTTTTACATCTATTTAACTCCATCACACCCCAACCCACCTCCTTCCCCCCCTCCTCCTTTTCTCTTCCTTTGCTTTTTGCTTGCCTTTTCTTCGCCAAACATATCTTCCCCTTCCTTTTCCTATACCCACCATTCTCTTTCCATTCTGTACAAAATGCAATCATTTTGAACCCACAATTCATTAATTCCACTTTGCTTAATTATCATTTCTGCTGGTTTTACCTCGAAGCAATTCAAGAATCCAAAGTTGGGTTCTTTTTAATTACCAAATCTTTATCTGGGCTTTTCACAATTAAGTATGGAGAATGAGTTTTTCCTTAATGCAGGAATCCCGGCGCCCCCGGCGTTGCATTTTGAAACATCGTCATTGGTGGAAATGAGCAGTTGGACGTCTGGGATGGGAATTCAAGCAATGGAGCTGAATTGCTCTGTTGATCAGTCTGTGGACTGCTGTTTTAATCCCAATTGGGAAAAGTCAACGGATTATGGTGTCCAGTTTGACTCTGCCCTGAGTTCCATGGTGTCGTCTCCGGCAGCGTCGAATTCGAATGTTCCCAATGAGAGCTTCGTGATCATGGAGTTGATTGGGAAATTGGGGAACATTGGTAACTCCGGCGAGATCTCGCCGCATTCTCAGCCGTTGTTGGCTTCTTACTTTAATGGCAATAATAGCACCAACACTTCCTGTTATAGCACTCCCCTGAATTCCCCTCCTAAGCTGAACTTGCGGGTTGTGGACAATTTGGTTAAAGACAAGCTACCCAGTTTGGGAAAATCAATGCCCATGAATTCCAGTGTGGCCGATTTCTCCGCCGACCCCGGATTTGCAGAGAGGGCGGCGAGGTTGTCCTGCTTCGGCACCCGAAGTTTAAACGGCCGGACGAGTCAATTCGGGCTGAACAACAACGAAACTCCTTACAGATCTAACCCGGTGATGGATAACGGCAAGCTGTCGCGCGTTTCAAGCAGTCCTTCTCTCAAGGTAATGGGAACACAAGGCGGTGGAATTCAGGGGAACAAGAATTCCCCATTTCAGGATCGGTCCGAAGCTGCCAATTCCCAAGAGGAATCCACAGTCTCCGAACAAAACCCCAATGGAGACTCCGGTATCAAAGCTGCAAACGATTCGAATTCGAGGAAAAGAAAAGCAGCATCAAAAGGGAAAGGAAAGGAAACTTCAGTGTCCCCATCACCAAATACTAATACAAAGGTAACAGTTAAAACTCTCCCAACTTTATATTTCTGTTTCTGTAGAGATTCAGGGTTGAATATTTGTCAAATTATCCCATTTTCAGGTATCTGAAACTAATGAAGATTCAAATCCCAAGCGATGCAAGCAATCCGAGGACGAAAATGGTCCTGCTAAAGCTGAAGAAGAAGCAAAAGGTAGCAATTTGGATGAGAAACAGAACAAGGCTAACACAAAGCCTCCTGAGCCTCCAAAGGACTATATTCATGTTAGAGCAAGAAGGGGTCAAGCCACTGACAGCCATAGTCTAGCTGAAAGAGTAAGAAATCATAACTCAATTGGAACGTTGATGTATTCCAGATTTTGCATTGAAAACTGAATCTATGTTAATATTCATCAACTGGACAGGTTCGAAGAGAGAAAATCAGCGAAAGAATGAGGCTTCTCCAAGATCTTGTTCCGGGATGCAATAAGGTCTCTGATATTTTCTGAATCTGGTGCTCGAAAAATGTCAAGTTGAGTAAATTCTTTGTTCCTTGGTAATGAAACTTTTGAATATTAAATTGCAGGTGACTGGAAAAGCCTTAATGCTGGATGAAATTATAAACTATGTTCAATCATTGCAGCGTCAAGTTGAGGTAAAAATAAATGTTTCTCGATCTGAGTGTTGAGGATTATATTTTCTTGGAATAGAAGTAAATTAAGTCATCTTTTCTAACCGTGGATATGCATTTTTTTTTTCTTTAAAAAAAAATTGTAGTTCCTTTCGATGAAGTTAGCTTCTGTGAACACCAGGCTGGACTCTAACATGGATACTCTAATGTCAAAGGATGTGAGTAGTTTTATAACCTCTTTTCTTAGTGGCAACACTTTCTTCTTTTCAAATTATGAAACATTTTTTGAATTGGTTTGTTATTTTGCAGATATTTCAATCAAACAATTCTATGCCACATTCAATATTCCCTTTAGATTCCTCAGCATCATCCTTTTATGGCCAACAGTCCCAGCAGAATCCAGCAATGCATAACAATATTTCTAATGGGACAATGAGCCAATGCCCTGTGGACCCTTTAAACACTGTACTATGCCGGAGTCTTAATATGCAATTACCTTCCCTAGACCAATTTACAGATACTATTCCTCCTCAGGTAACTTTCTCCTCCTTCCCCTGGATTCAGCCTTTCCCAGTTTCCATTCCCCATCTAATTTTCCTGGAAAATTGTGTTTGTAGTGCCCAACATTCTGTGAAGGAGACCTACAAACCATTGTTCAAATGGGGTTTGGCCAGAACTCAAACCCGGAAACGCCATTGCAGTCACAGAATCTCCATGGTGAGAATTAAGGGGGAAAAAAAAGTGACTCTAAAAAGTTAACTCCACCATTTTGCAGGAAATTTTGATGATGATTATCCTTAATGCAGGGTCAAATCAAGTGTCCCACATGAAAGTTGAGCTCTAATCAGCGTTCTTTGGTCCTGGATTTAAGGTCTAAAAAGGAGGACACAACGGCTGCTGTAAATACAAGAAATTTAATGTATGGACCAAGATGCATACGTACTCCCACTAAGCCACTTTATTATCTTTAGGGTTTAATCTTTAATTAGGGATCATTCATCAATTCCCCCCCTCCCCTCCCCCTCTCCCCCCTCTATTTTGTCCTCCAATTCTTTTGTGGACTTTTTCTTAAAATTATCCACTGTAAAATCCTAATATCCATTCTGTATCCTGGTGCAAAGCCTTTGCAGTCTGCATGCACCATGCCTACTACATGTATGATAAAATGCCTAATTAGATTAAAGAGAATTCCATTTTCATTTTCTCCAGTACCTTTCATTGTCTGCGCTACTAGACAACTCTACGTTGCTATCAATTTCAATTCAACAAGATTTTCACCAAATTATCATCTGGTGTTATATCAATTAAGCAAATATTAGATCGCGTAATCTACCGGATTAGATCCTTGTTAGTGTTAACCAGCTGGATGAGATTTTAAGGGGGGACCTATCTCTAAAAGTCTAATATTGAGAGATTGGATTAAAACAGTGATTAGCTTAGCTCAAGCTGGGGTCAACCATAATTTTTGGCATAAAATTCTCAAAGATTAACCCAGAAAAACAGAACCTTCTGTTCCTTTTTTTTTTTTTTCACTGTGCAGAATAATTAAAAATGATTCAAGTAAAGATTAGAAGTTGCAACCACTCACTTTAAACAAATCTTCTCTTTAATCATAAATTAAATTGCAATCAAAAGAATCCCAGGTTGGCAGTGGTGAGATTCTGACCAGACCCAATGAATTATAGAGTTCTACAGTCTCACCTACTATTAAATATAAGGGGAAAAGGGGCATTATGGTGGAGTTCAGGCATGGAAAGATGCCTCTAGTTAAAAAAGAGAAGGAAAAAAAATATTCTTAATGTTTGGAATACTGATAAAGATGGAGCCATGGGAATAGTTATTGCTGCACAATTTTTTATTAAGATTACATAAAACACTTTTTTTTTACTATTTTTTTTTTTGTTTTTAGAAAGTATATTGGATTTTAATTAATTCAGAGTTGATCTACATTTATCTTTTAATTTATGACACTTAAATTTGAGATTTTATTTAAAAAAAATTAAAGTTTCTTCTACTTGGACCAACATGTTGTTGGTAGACAAAACACTTGTTTGATTATTAAAAATAGTTGATAATTGTAATTATTAGTTGATGGAATAGTTTATATTTACTACTTAATATATTTAAAGTAGTCTATAAACTAACATTTTTTAGGATAATGATTGGTGTATTTTTTAATTTAACACATTTCATAACACACTTTTTAAGAAATTATTATTTTTAAATTTGAATTTAAAACGAAAAAAATTTCACTTATAAAATTTAATAATTAAATTGGTGAGTATTGAAAGATGTGTTAAATTGAAAAGTGTATTAATCATTACTCTATTTTCTAACATCATAAGTAACTGTTTAAGAAAAAAGTTATAAATATATAAAATTAGTTAAATTAAACATACTTTATATGTGTGATCTTAAGAAAACCAGCCGGCAAGTTCAAATTTTAATTATCACTATAAATTATCACCATAAATTGTTTGATAGAATTGAAAAAATATTTAAATACCCTTAATCAATATTACTATTATTGATTACTATTTATTAAGAATATACGGTGTGTTAATATTTTTATAACTTAAATTGCACTTAAAAAAAAAAGAAAAAAAAAAGTATTCTGTTTGTTTGAGAGAGAAATTATGGGGGGCAGTTGGTAAAAATCCAGTTTCTGGGGTTCAACAAAAGATTGTCGCAGTGCAGCCTTTTGAATTGATTTGTTTTGTTTATTCATGGGTCTATTATTGGGGTGCTGAGATAATTGTAGATTAATCAAAAGGAAAGATGCCCTGAATGTGGCGTTTTGTTCTTGTACAGTGCAGTTGCATTACATATAATTAATGGCTCATGATATAGTATAAAATAAAAATGTTTTCATTTGACAGTTTTTGTCTGGAAAATCTTTTCAAAAGAGTCCAATCATTTTGTATGGAGGTTATCTTTTCATTTTCATTATTTATATTTTTTTATTATAAATTATACAATAAGATTGTATAACAGCACTCTTTTATTTCTTTTAACTTATTTTATGATTTTTTTTTTTTTTTACTTTCAATAGCATAAAATTAATTGAATGACTTACGTTATTGATTTTTTTACTTATCATATATATTTGGAATTAAGAAAAATTTAAGATATCTTGATAATTAGAGAAAAAGTAGGTGATCATTGTCTTTGTTGAAAATTCAAAAAACTAAAAAGGATTGGTAAGGGTGGAAGACACAATTACAGGAACATGACAGGGACTGTGACAGAATAAGCTTTGCTGGTACCCAAAATTGGATCCTTCTTTAGTTGGTAATTGTTTCAAAATGTTTGAATTATATAATCCAAGGTGTGACCATATTTCCCTGGAAAGTGTAAAGCACCCTTTTCTTACATAGAAAAATTAGACACAATCTATGAGCTTGCAGATGTTCTATGATGATAGGCTAATTGGTAGAGCTTATTTTCCAACTTAATTATGACCACTGTCAATGTAAATAGTGACATTTTTCTACATTTTTTTTCCACTTTAAATGGAAAATTCTGCCGAACGGGTCAAGTGTTTCACCAGGTTTTGTCCAATAATTGCAAAAATGTGGTCTTAAATACCAAATTAAAAGGGAAGAGATTCCAGCTTGGGGAAAACGTTTCATTAAATAAGCTTTTAATTATATCAATGAAGAGTTTAAGTTGTTTTTTTTTTTCTTATAGGAATAATACTTATTTGCTTTACATTCTAAATAAGAAAATTTTTTTTATCAAAACTATTAGTTTTAATAAACTCTTACTGAAAACAAAAAAACTAAAATACCTTATTTTTTAAAGCAAAAATTAGAATTCTTTTTATTTTTTCTCATAGTATTTTATTAAAATGATGTAGTTTAAAAGTAATTTCTGTTTTAATTTTTAAAAAGTAAAGTAGATAAACATTAATCCTTTCTTCTAATACAATGATATCTTTTTTTAATGGAAAAATAGCAACTTCACCAATCATAGGAAAATGGTCAGGTATACATGGAAAGGGAGGAAGTAGATCAAACTTAAGGCTACTTGCTGTCAAATCCTCTCATTATCTCTGTTTATTCTTACCTACTAGAAACCTTTCAAAAAATTAGAGACATTTCTTTGAAAAATCACTCTTCTTCCTCATCTAGAAACTCATCTAGAAACTCTATGTGTAATGCCCTTAATCTCATATCGGTAGGAAATTGTGGATGAATATAATATATAAGTGTGTAAATTAGCCACTATTAGCAACTTTAACTTGAATTTTTAGGAATTCGTAAACCTTAACATGAAAAGTTATTAAACTAATGATGAACTTTAACCTGGGTCATTTCACTATGTGCATTGGATATGCTATGGTTCAATTAATGGGTCCATGAGATGGGTGTCCTAAACTTCATGGGAATCTGCCTACAAAACCATGGGATGAAGGAAGCAAAGTTCTGTTGAGTGGGAAAATCCCACATCTTTAAAGATGGTTAGTTCACCTATTGTCAAATAATTTTAAGTTGAATGCAAGTATTGTGTTAAACTCATATGTACAATTCTCATATGGTATTAGAGCTCAAGTTCCATCTTGAAAAGTCCTAGAAAGTTCATTGTTAGCTCATTTAATAGTACCCAAAGTTGATATTAAGCTTGCATGTAAGGGGCGTATTAAGGTATGTGACAAGAACTAACATTTATAATGGGCTTGTGCACGAAAGAGCATGTTGAGTGAAAAAATCTCACATCCTTAATACAAAGAAGACTACTCTACCTATTGTTAATTGGTTTTAGGTTTGATACAAACTTTATGTTGAACCCATACATATAATTTTCACAATTCCATGAGAGTCCACTCACTCACTTTGCTAGACTAGACCCAAGACTAATCACCAATATCGGCTCTGATACCATTAATTGTTGAGGAGACACGTTGGACCAGCAAGATCATGTGAGATATCAGGATAAGGGCATGCATATGTAAGTGCCCAACATGTGAAGATATTATCTTCAACCCAAAAGACTATCCTATTTATTTAATGAGCTTCCACACGTTTAAACAACTTTTCTATTTTCCTAACGTAGGATTCTTTCACAACTCCACCCCCTCACCATGTGAACTAACTTAAGAATCAGCTCCCGATGACTCAGTCAGCCACCAACCATTAATCCCCAGTCCATCAAAATTTCTCCTTGGGTCTATTAGGCCTACCGTCGGGCGATCGTTTCCCACTGCCACACCTCGCAATATATGACTCGAACTAGAATCACACAACCCGCTCCAGCCGTACGTGGGAAACGTAGGAGGAGAGGTAGTATTGGTTTCTATATATATGGGGGATAAGCGTAAGGAGGTTGGTTGCGTCTACTCTCATGGGTGATGCTTAGGCTAGAAAGTTTTGGATTGGTGTTAATGAGGCGTCGTTCTTTAGTAATGAATATACTCAGCCCTACCCTGGCTATGGTAAGGGCAGTGTCATGATACTTTGTATTCTACTGCCTAGCTAAGAGTAGAGAATCACTGGCTGCATGGACATATCCTGTCATCCTCTACCACATTCACCTCATCATCTTTTACTAATAAACTATATTATTCTTATAAAAAAACTTAGGGGATCATGTCATTTTCTTTTGTAGAATGCAAATTATTTTACAGGAAAAAATAGCTAATAATATATAGTTAAAAATATTGTCTAAGGTTACATCATAAAATAACTTTCCTCGGATGTTGAAGAGAACTTGGCTTGTCTTTGACAGATTTATCCCACCAATAATTAATGCTCTGTGCCTCTATCTTGAAGTATGTTTGTCTCTTGTGTGTCCCAGCACACATACTCCTCACCAAATCCACAGTTTTAGAGGTCCTCAAACGTCTCAAGCATAACACGACATGTCTTGTGTGTACACCCCTACTGATCTAAGTTTTCCATCAGCGATTTTTTGGTAACTTGTCTTAATCAAATCCAAAAATCCATGTGCTTACCATTTGCCAGAAGCAAATTTCACAAGAAAAATAAAATAAAAAATAAAATAAAGAGCAAGCCCGTGTCTCTGCAAAGGCAATAATTAATTAAAGAATACTTTTTAAAGCCTCCAAGGGCAACTGCAAGGGTAAGAGGGAGGTTATTATAATTTAAGGTCAAGCCATCCCAGCATGTTTGTGAGTGTTTACAGTTGTCCTTATGAATTGCTTATTCCTAACGGGCTATTAAGAGTAAAACTCAAATTTAATAACATGCAATTGGAGATTTCAAATCTTATTAATTGAATCAACTTTTGAAGATTACTGATATGATAATAATGATTAGTGTAGGTGTGCCTTCACAAAGATATGGAAAGATGGGTGTCCTTCTTCTTTCACCCTTTTTGGGGCACTAATTTAAACTTTGGTAGGTGTTTTTGCCTTTGGAAGGGAGAAAAAACAGGGTGTTGAAAGATGATGAACCATCATTTGCTTCACCTACCATTTCATTATGAACATCCATTCTCTCATTTTTTCTCTTACTGCATTTCAAAGTTTCTCCCGCATCAAAATAATGCAATCCAATTTCTTCTTTTCTTAGCCTTCTAAATTGAAGATTTTTTTTTTTTTTACTTTTAATTTTTTATTTAAATGTGAAAATTACTGTTCTTTCCTTCAACTATCCTTTATTATTGTTTCCTTAATCTAACAATGTGCAATATATAAAAGGAAATAACTCTTTATTTCCTAAACCTCTCCATGATAGTATGATACTTATTTCAAAATTTAAATTTAAGATCACAACATGAAATTTAGACTTTTAATTTTTTTTTTACTTATAATGAGAGGAAATAATTTTTTTTAATTCTCAAATTTCTCTTTACTTACCTTTCATTATCTTATATTTTTAAGTTAAAATCACAAAATTTTAACTAGTAAAATTAGGCCATTGGACTTTTTTTTTTTTTTTAACAAGAGTAATGGTTAACAAATTAGTTTTATTAATTTAGTAACTGAAGATTCAATCTCCAAATCTGTTGAATATCCCACCTTCTTCATTGAAATGCACTGCTCATCGAACTGTTTGGTGGAGTTCAGGCCATCGGACTTTAATCGGTGATTCTTATTGTTAAAGAAAAACTTCAATCTTAAGTACTTATAATGTAATCATTAACATAATTTGACATCTGAATTGATTGGTGCTGTCTGGCCAAAAAAAAAAAAAAAATGATTGGTGTTGTCACCTAGTTAAAAGGCTGTTTGGATTCCTTATTCTTGTAAAGATTAATTAGTCCATAAAGACCATGTAACGGGAAAAAAAAAAAGAAAAAAAAAAGGCTGCAACGTTGTTGTTTTTTGTTTTTTTTTTTGCAATTGTTATGAATAAATAGTCACCATCGTGATCAAATCCTCGGTGGGTTTAAAATATATGTTTAATTTTTTTTAATGTATTTTTAGTTAATATTTTTATAATATATGAATAATAATTAAAATTTTTGTATTTTATACACAATTTTTATTGAGTAATTTTATTTGATTAAAAAATTTTAATTATTATTTATATACTACAAAAATATTTACTAAAAATATTTATAAAAAAAATCAAACAATTTATTTATATGTTGAATAAGAGGGGGAACAATTCATTTTAACTGGCGGGTGGGCTTGATCAAGCCTAATGGCCCGATCCTACAATTTCAAGGTTTGGTTTTGGGCAGCAAACTTCGATCAACGTTCAACAGCGCGGAGTAAGTACAAGCACAAAAATTCAGGCCTGAATAATTTGGGGCTTAGCTTAGTCTAGACCCAAAAAAATAAAAGGAGATACGCCCATGCTGACCCGAGCCCATCCATATTTTAAAATAAAAATAGAGTGTAGTTAGTGTTAATCTTGAGTTTTAAAAATTATTAGAATTTTAATTTATATCTAAAAATTAAAATCTTATCATATTAAATGTTGATATCTAAATTTAAAAACTCATTATATATTCTAATATATCAATATTTAATAAGAGAATTTTTAAATTTTGAATTGAACTTTAACTAAATAAAACGACAGAATTTAATATTGAGACTTTAATTATTTTTTAGAGTCAGAAATAATATATATATTTTTTCATAAAAATATATTTTATTTTTAAAGGTTAAAGTTTTAACTATTAGTTGAAAATGCTATTTTACCATATAGATTGTAAAATAAAAATGGTTAGATGGAAGAGGATTTTTAATATTAAAAATTTTAATTTTTATTTAATAATTATTGTTGTGTAGTTTAAGTATATAAAGTGTTATTTAAAGGGCAAAACATGCATGTAAATCCCCTGCTTATTGCTCCTGGACATGGAGGACTTTATAGACACTCAGAGAAGTATTTAGGAGGCAATCAAAGTGATTATTGGTGATGGTAGAGAAACATCCTTATTTTTCGATTTGTGGCTTTGGTCGAAAAGAATACATGTGATAGAATTAAGGAGACTGGAGGCGTCGTGTGGCACAGGGCTATCAAGGGGGCCGGCTGATAGGTGGGTAGGTGATAGAGGTGGACTATTCCACCTATCTTTCTACGGGTCTATCCTGATATAAACTCAAGATTTTACAGCAAGTCGTGCTAAAAGGAGGGCATGACGTTTGCTGTGTGGGAACCTGCCTCATCATCAGGGACTTTATTGCCAGTGCTTACGAGATGCTGAGTAGTAAAGAGATGAGGAGGGTGCCGCGGCACAGGCTTGGGTAGGCAAGGCAATTGGTGCCAAGACATGCCTTCATGTTATGGTTAATGCTCCAAGGAAGACTCAAAACTAAGGTCCTATTAAGCAGAGGCGTGGCGATTGATCTTTAAATGGTAAGCAGTGTGGTGGCCCTGAGGAGAGTGAGCATCTGTAATTTTTTGATTGCGCATATATATTGAGATCCTTTGGTATTTTGCCAGAATGGCCTAGAGAACGGAATATAGAATGACAGTGGATTAGAACTGTATTAAAACGCGAGAATGCTCAAGCTAAGAAAGATGGGTCAAACACTCCCCGCATCAATATACCACATTTGGCAATAGGCAGGAGCGAAACAATAGAATTTTTGCAAAAAGAACTCGATCTCCAAAGTCTTAAAATACAGTGATAATACAATGTTTACATTTAATGGTTTCATTAACTAGGAAAATACAACGCTTACACACTTATGTGTTATTTTTATAAGACAAATCAACAAATTAAAATTCTTACAAGGAAAATAAGAATTTTTAGTCTTTTTGTCATTAATTTAGTCAGATCTGATTGATGAAGTGAATGAAAGTAATATTATTTATTTTTTATTCAATTAAAATTTAAGGATTTTTAATTTTATTCTTTAAAAATAATAATAGTTAAAAAAATAAATAAAATTTAGTTAATCACCCTACATGTCTTCTTTAAATTTACCATTACATGTTAATTTGGGATTTTTTTTTGGCAATATAATAAATTACTTCCCCTCAAAAAAAAAAACTATCCCTGTACATGGTTAAAATTCAGTCAATTACCTTCACTCACGTGTCAAAACCCACGCTGCCATCACGAAATCATTTTCCCACAAAAAATTAAAAAAATTCACGGAAGAGCTAAACCCCTCCTTAAATTTTGGTTCTGCCTTTCCAAATATAGCTTCCTCTCCTGTCCACCTCTCTTCCTCCACTGCACAGAGATCTGACACAAAACTGAAACCAAAATCGGAGACGACGCCTCTTCCCAATCGGAGTTGATTTCGATTTCCCATTTTTTTTTGTGGATTTTGATGTCTTTATGTCTCGTCCTCCGAACTATGAGTTTCAGGAATGGTGGAACAGGCAGCGGGAGAGCAACCAAGAGCTGTTTTCCAATGATGCAACTCCCAATGGTTTCTCCGCCGTCGACATCGGAAGTCCCGCCCACGACAGGACTGCCGAGAAGGATCGCGCGCGGAGTGCGCGCCAGCTGTCCTGGCTCTGGCGTTTGAAATTCCAGCAACTCGCCTCCTCCCTCGCGTGGATTACAAACGGCTCCATTCTCCTGCTCCGTACAGCCAATCGTCGAATCGCGTCTCCTGATTCGCCTTCCGATTCTTCTGGTTCAAGGCTGTATCGGATAATTAAGTTGTTTTTGGTTTTGGTGATTCTGTTGCTCTGCGTGGAGTTGGTTGCGTATTTTAAGGGATGGCATTTCAGTCCGCCTTCGGTGGAGTCGGCGGAAATGGCATTGGAGCTGGTTTATGCGAAGTGGCTCGAAATCAGGGCCAATTACTTGGCGCCGCCGCTGCAGACCTTGACCAATGTGTGTATATTGCTGTTTCTAATTCAGTCGGTGGATCGTGCGGTACTCATGCTTGGCTGCTTCTGGATCAAGCTTCGGAGATTAAAGCCAACGGCGCCCATGGAATATCCTGAGGGGCCAGTGGAGGGGGAGAATGTGGAGGATTATCCCATGGTACTGGTGCAGATTCCCATGTGCAATGAGAGGGAGGTAAGCAGACGTAGGTTTCCAATCTCTGTGGAAGTGACTTAATTGGTTCCTTAAATGTTTTAGCTAATTCTGTAGTGTTTTTGCTCACTGTTTTTTTATTGGTTCCTTATATGTTGTAGCTTATTCTTTAGTGTTTTATTTTGTATTTCTTATGATTGTGTTTATCCCTTAACGCATGTCACCCACATGCCATGCAATGGCTATTTAGGTCGTTGGTGGTGCTTGGGTTGGTTAGGCAACGATGAATTATAAATTTTAGAGCTTTGTCCTTCTTTAATGTTCATTATGTGTGTACTACTATTTATGATTGATAATGTTGAGTAAGGAAAATTCAGTTGCTAGTGTGGCTGCATATTTTTAGTGACTATAAATATTATTGATAATGTTAAGCTGTCCTTGTTTAGTTTTGAGTTAAATCGAGAGTGTTGTATCTTTTCCAGTCTTTTTGTACTCTATAATCTTGTTTAGAGATTGAAATACATGCACTAGATAATTTACTTCACTAGATATATCGAAACAGTTACACAGTTATTTTCAGCTTTCTCTCGGTTATGCTATTTCTATTCAGCTGATTTACTCCAGCAGGTATATTGAAACAGTTATATAGCTATTTGAGCTTTCTTGTAGTTACGCTATTTCTGTTCACCTTTTATTTCCAGTTAATTTCCAATACCTTTTGTTTTTTTTTGGATGCCGTGCAGGTTTACCACCAATCAATTGCAGCAGTTTGTATTTTGGACTGGCCTAGGGAGAGAATGCTTGTACAAGTGCTGGATGATTCTGATGAATTAGATATTCAGCTTCTTATAAAGGCAGAAGTGCAGAAATGGCAACAAAGGGGTATTCACATAGTATATAGGCATCGTCTTATACGGACAGGCTATAAGGCAGGGAATCTGAAATCTGCAATGAGCTGTGACTATGTAAAAGATTACGAGTTTGTGGCAATATTTGATGCTGATTTTCAGCCAGCACCAGATTTTTTGAAGAAGACTATTCCTTATTTTAAGGTAACTTCTAATCTATATCTATTAAGAACTTTGTGGGTTTAAAAGGAGGTTTGACATTTGAGGGCGAAGTGTGAAATTATGACATCATTGGATTCTTATGATATCTGTTATAGATGCATTTATACTTGTTATCAATTAATTTGTATGACTTTGTAGATGAGCACACTTGTTTTTGGGCAATGACAAGTTTTATCAACCTAAACCTATAGGCGTTCAGTCCATACAACTACTTCCAGGCGTACCTGAGGAAAAACAGCTAATTATAGTCATATAACCAATTTCAGGACTTCTCTGCTCACCTCTAAATAATCTGTAATTTCTCTCCAACCAAAGAAAGTTAACTGTGGCAGCCAACAGGGCCTTTAGTAACTTAGCTTGCTCAGACCTTCCTCTACATAACACATGCAGCCACATAAGCTCTCTATTCCAGCACTTGGGACACCTGTCAAATGTCAAATCTCAATAGCACAAGCTTCCATGTTATATTTGACATGGGGTAAGCCTTTACTAGTCAACAGCTTCCTGGTCTTCAACCTTCCTCTCAAAACCAACCATAACTCAACTAGAGTGCACTTGTTTTTGTGTGGCTTTTTGGATGTTAAACTCAATGCAGTGCACAAGAAATGAATGATGACTCATTTCCTCATTAAAGTAATGGTCTTCATTGGTTAAGGAGGGAACGAAGCAAGTGTAATTGTATTTGATCACAGAATCATCTAGTGTTTTCTGTTGTATCTACTTACTTAGCTCTATAGACATTCATACTTCTTCTTAGGTGCAGTATTTCAGATATTTTGTTCGCATGAGTATGTATTTATCAATAAAGTGATTAGGGCCCATCAGTGACCTTGTCCAGACACAAGAATGTTCACCTCTGGCCCTAGATTTGTTGAATTAGAAACACTATCTTATATAATTCTAGAACCAGTTTGCAATTTCATATTTGTTAAGTTCAGCAGTTGATGTTTGATTTCCTCAGAAGAGACTTGCTTCCCCCATATTATCTGAATATCACAATGAGGTAATTTACCTACCATTTTTGTCTGAATGGAGTGTGTTTTTCTGTTTTTTCTTCTAGGGGAATGATGACATAGCATTAGTCCAAGCAAGGTGGGCCTTTGTGAACAAGGATGAGAACTTGCTCACACGATTACAGAACATAAACTTATCCTTCCACTTTGAGGTTGAACAACAGGTCAATGGTGTGTTCATCAACTTCTTTGGTTTCAATGGAACTGCTGGTGTCTGGAGAATCAAAGCCCTTGAGGAGTGTGGTGGCTGGTTGGAAAGAACAACTGTTGAGGATATGGATATTGCGGTCCGTGCTCACCTATGTGGATGGAAATTCATATATCTGAACGATGTAAAGGTGGGTGACATGTTAACCATATACAAATTTGCTTCCCACATCAGACATAAGAAGGTGAAGTTTACTGATCTCGTTGTGTTTGCAGAGCCTCTGTGAACTTCCTGAGTCCTATGAGGCTTACAAGAAACAGCAGCACCGCTGGCACTCAGGTCCCATGCAGTTGTTCCGTCTGTGCTTCTTTGACATACTCCACTCAAAGGTATGGTGACCTCACATTCTTTCTGCCTTACTGGGGGAACTAGATTCCTTTTCAGTCTCAGATTATTGAGCATCAGTGCCTAAATCTATTAAACTCTGTGCACTTTAAAGTGGTGACCTACATATCTATATATGTATGTATGGATGTGTGTGTGTGTGTGTGTGTGTATAAAACAAATAAAATTGTAGGATATGGTTTATTGTATTCCAGTGTAGTTGTTAGAACTTTTTTTTGTAGGAATTGGTCTGAAGCCTATAAATCTGTAAATCCATCTAGCAATACAACAGAGAGGATGATCTAGTAGTATAACATGAGATAATGAACAAGCCACAAGTGTGACTTAAACATATCCAAGAAATTCTGTCAAAACTGTATTCAAATGCATGGTAGGTGCGATTTTTTTTTTGTTCTCATGAGGAGCACCTGATAGGTCCAGTTCAGAAACTTAGACCTAAACCATGATACCATCGTCTGCTTTGTGTTTCTTTGAAATTAAAGTACATTGAGCAGGGCTTATGAGTTTAATAGAGGTACCCTGTCCTCATAAAAATTTTGTGAGCTGTAATGAGTACAAATTTTCGTAACTTTCTTGTTGCTGGAAATCATATTAAATTGATGTTGTAGCTTCAAGTATTCTGCTTTTCACTCTCTAAGTAAATCGTAATGATTTTGAGTCATCCCAGCACCTTTTATCAACTTAAAGCATTTTAACTATTCTTTCCAAATATTTTTTCCTGTCAACCCCTTAATCATGCTTGAAACCTCCAATGTCCAATCTGCCCGATGTTTCTCTCTCTCTCAATCTCTCCTCCTCAGTGAGAATGTTCAAGATTTATACAACGGAACTTCCTCACAAGTAGGAGAGCAGTGCAGTCATCAATTAGGTGTGCCCAACATTGAGCAGCATGTAATGGATTGACTCTTCATGAGTGGGTCATTGTATGTCTATTGACACCTCCTAGTGGTTAATTTGTTCAAACAAAAGTGTTCTAGGATAATTAAAGGGTGTGGAGTTCTACTAAATTTTGTTGCTGGTAAGATTTTCCTATATAGAGTGTTTCTTAAGTTCCTGAATGCATGTCAGCAAATGTATGTTTGGATATGTGTTCTCCACAGGGTTTGATTATTTATATTATCATTTTGTTATGACCTTCTTTGTGGATATATATCTCACTTTGTTTCCACATTCCAGATGAGTTTGCCCAAGAAAGCCAATTTGATATTTCTGTTCTTTCTGCTGCGGAAGCTTATCCTGCCTTTTTACTCGTTCACTCTGTTCTGCATCATTCTTCCTTTGACAATGTTCCTCCCAGAAGCTCAGCTGCCAGTTTGGGTTGTTTGCTATGTCCCTGGACTCATGTCTTTGTTGAATATCCTACCAGCACCACGTTCATTCCCTTTCATAGTCCCCTACCTTTTATTTGAGAACACCATGTCAGTAACCAAGTTCAATGCCATGATATCAGGACTGTTTAGGTTTGGGAGCTCTTATGAGTGGATAGTAACCAAAAAATTAGGAAGATCTTCAGAGGCTGATCTTGTTGCGTATGAAAAGGAGTCTGAATCTAATGCCTTAGTTGAAAGTACTGCTCTTCAAAGGTCAACCTCTGATTCAGGCCTTAATGAACTGAGCAAACTAGAAATAAGCAAGAAAATTGTGAAAACAAATAGAAACCGTCTTTACAGGAAGGAGCTTGCTCTTGCACTTATCTTGTTAGCTGCTGCAGTACGAAGCTTGTTGTTGGCACAAGGAATTCACTTCTACTTTCTATTATTTCAAGGAATCAGTTTCCTCGTAGTTGGTCTGGATTTGATTGGAGAACAAGTAAATTGAAACAAAGATGCCTTTAATAGCTCTTTGATTCCTGTAAGTTGGCCTCGAGGGCAGGTCATGGTGGCAAAGCTTTTCTGTTGTCCTCATGGATCATACCTGCAATTTGTAGCCATTGAATCTGGATTGAAGCAGTTCACACATTGTCTCGTGGCCGGTATTTATACTCTTATTTATATACGTAATGGGGGTTTACCATGTTGGTTATGTTTGTCGAGCCATGTGCTTTGGATTAATGTAAAGTTGTACGACTAGGTTTTGAAGATGGTAAAAGACCTTCAAAACTGATATCTGGGGAGGTTGAAGTCTCTGTCCACTGTCCAGCAGATTTCTTGTGTAATACAGTGTACACTTTGCTTGCCCCCGTTAGAGTGAGGCGGGCTTCATTGGGAGTCATTCTTTGATTTTGTTAGACAAGTTGTGTACGATTAAATGTAGTCTTCATCATTAAGTTAATTCCTAGATTTATTTGATGTGTCTACACTTCTTTTTCAATTTCTAATGGTATATTTGGTCTGAAAGGAGGGAAAAGGTAAAAATTAGTTTATTTGATTAATAAAAAATTTTGAGAGAAAAGGGGGCGGAGTTTTTTATTTTATTTTTTTATTCTAATTTTTTCACTTGTTTAAATGAGTGAAGGGGAGAAAGAAAAAAGGATGAAATATCTTTTATTCTCTTCTCTTTACTTCCCCTTTCTCTTGTTTTTCTCAAATCAAATATATTGTAATTTCAATTTTACTTTAAAAGTAAAAATAAAGATTAACTTATGAATCAAATTCTAAGCTTTTTACCCTAGAGTAGTATATTGTGATCTCTAACAAAATCTTGACTTACATGTCCGAAAGATGTCATGGGTGTGCTCTAAACAATGTTTAAATGAGTATAGGAACACATACATTGCTTTCTTAGTACTTTTCCTCCGGGTGCTATATTGCGTTTGGATATTTTTGTATTTGACAATTTTTTTAAGAATTTTTTTTCATAAAGTCTAAACTACTACAATAATTTTTTACATTAAAAATATTAAAACAATTTCAAAGCACCTTTGTTACTCAAATTCGTTTCAAGTAATTGTATTTTGTTTATTTTCATAATTATAAAGTCATACCATACTTATAGAAAAATAGATACTAGAAACTAGTACATCTTTCCCCAATTTTGACTTTTTCATAAACTAAAAGTATATACTTATCTATATTACATTTACCTATACTATCTTTATTAAAGAGAGATAAAGACAATTTTGGTAATAAAATACATAATTAAAGTTACTAGGATTAGAGTAAGAAAAAGTATTTATCTCTTTAAAAATAAAAACAAAATAACAATTAATTTAATATAAATTTTAAGTTATAAAACTAGGATTATTTTGAGAGATGAGGAATAACTTACATTTTGGCACTGCATAGCACAAGAACAATAAAACATTCTCAAATCTCAAATAGATAGAACCTTAATCAAACTTTCATTTCCTCCAGTAAAGGTTGCTAGTAAAGAATTAGAGAAACCCATATCTGGTCAATTTCTACAAAATCATAAAATTAACTAGTAAATTATAGTCGAGTTTATAACTTAGTAGGTAAAATGCATGTTTTCATATTAAATAGTATTTAATGTAAAAAAAAAAAAAAACACTATTAGAGCTCACAACTTGGTGAAATGCATGTTTTCATATTAAATGGTATTTAATGTAAAAAAAAGAAAAAACACCATTAGAGCTCATAACTTAGTTCGTAAAATGCATGTTTTCATATTAAATAGTATTCAATGTAAAAAAACACTATTAAAGCGATTTTATTATACTCTTTTCAATTAAATTTAGTTATCTTACTTTTTATATAGATGTAGTGTAATTTAGTTATTTTATTTTTTATTTTTATAACATATTAAATGTTAATATTTTAATTTTAATTTTAAGCTTATCTTAAAAGAGATAAAAAATATATTAAATTTTTTTATTTAATTATAAATAATGATGAAAATAAACATTCCCAATATTAATGAAGAGGGTTGCCCGAGGCACGTACACATTGCACTATAATTTTTCTGGCAAGGAGGCATAGAGAACCATCTGAGAAGATTTTCTTGTAAAAGATTCGATGGAGATTTTCTTGGATGACACGGTAGCCGTTGGGGGCTATTGAGAGGATTTGATTTATAAACAGTGAATCTGCAATAATTGCATTTTGGGAGACGGCTAGAATTTAGCTTCCGTTTAGTACAGTAATATGAGGTAATGGTGACTGGTTGGTGGGTTTATTTATTTATTTTTTATGAGGAAAAAGAAATTTTCATATATTAAATAGAGTAAGATTACAGAAAAGAGTTTAAGATACGGCATCAGTAAGTAGTAATTGCAGCAAAATATCAGGGGGGCAATTAGCCCAGTAATATGGGCACTGTCCTTGAGAGTTGATCGTGCAACCCAATCTGCTACTCTATTTCCTTCACGAAGGATAAAAGAAAAGGAGAAATTAGGCCGAGAAAAACAAAAGCTTCTGATGTTGTGTATGATGGAGTGGATCTCCCAAGGAAGGGATTGGTTCACATGTTGTGCGCATGAGATCAAGGTCTCGTTATCGGATTCGAAAATCACTCGATCCAGTCCCATGTCCACTGCTGATTGTACAGCCCTCAGTAATGCATTTGCTTCAGCCATAAGAGGGGAGGCGGTAGAGCATAACCACGTTCGTCCAATAAGTATCTTCCCGTAAGAGTCTCTGCCCATCATGGCCAATGCCGTCAACCCGGAGTTAGGCATGAAGGAGACGTCAACATTAAACTTCAAAAAGCCTGGTGGAGGACGAGTCCAAACAGAGGTAACGTGTTTTCTTTGCATTGTCTGCTTTGGAGGCTGGAGTAAATCTCTATCAGGACATGAGCAAAATTCCTGAAGCATTGCATTAGCTTTGAACAAAATATGTTCAGGATTAAATAGAGCCTGTTCAAAATGTATCTTATTCCTTGCCTTCCATATATTCCAGCAGATGATTGCCCATTGTTCAAACAAATATGGAACACCCATTTGTTTATTTAAATTACTATAAAAATAAATGATTGATAAATTTATTTATTTTAAAAATATTATAAATTAATATTTAACAATTTAAAATCAAAAAATAATAATTAGGATCATAATACTTAACTGATTAAAAAAACTCACTCAGTTGGCAGCTAATTATATGATGTGATTTATAAATGGTGAAGCTGCCTTAATTCCATTTTGGGAGATGGAAATCTGTATTTATTTTTTCGTTCGGAGATGGGTTATTGTGAGTGGTGTTCCTATTATATTTTTAATTATTAATGTTATATTTTTTTTATTTTAATTAATTATTATATTTTTAATTTA